TATATATACTTTGTGAGGTTGGAAACGCTTCCTTCTGCCTGTTACATGCTTTCCGACGAATCAAGTATACCCTTTACCTCTACGAGTAACGTGTATAAAAATTAGCCCTTGATTTTAGAAAAACAACTTACATTTATGGCAGTCCACCCTAAAAGCGGAAAAATCATTCTTAGTTCATGAAATTTCACCCTAGATTTGACCAAAGCTCAATACGGATTTTAGAACAAATTTTATTAAAACCAAGGATGACAAGAAAGGAAGTTAGCTTCGGCAAGCCGAAGCTTATCTACCCTTGCAGCTATAATTATTAAATTTAAAAAAACAAAAATTATATTCCCAATAGTATAAATAATATGTCAAACAACACCGAAGCTATAATTTGTTTCATATTATTTTCCTACCAATTTTCCGACCGTTCCTATGGCAGCTATATGATATAGTCGTCCGATTTTGATAAAATTAAATTCGAAATTCAGAACTAATTAAAAAATGTTATTTCCAAGCGTAGGAGGTTATATGTTAAAAAACACCGAAGCTATAATTTGTTTCATATTATTTTCCTACCAATTTTCCGATCGTTCCTATGGCAGCTATATGATATAGTCGTCCGATTTTGATAAAATTAAATTCGAAATTCAGAACTAATTAAAAAATGTTATTTCCAAGCGTTGGAGGTTATATGTTGAAAAACACCGAAGCTATAATTTGTTTCATATTATTTTTCCACCAATTTTACGACCGTTCCTATGGCAGCTATGTGATATAGTCTTCCGATTTTGATAAAATTAAATTCAAAATTCAAAACTTATTAAAAAATGTTATTTCTAAGCTTAGGAGGTTATATGCTAAAACACACCAAAGATATAATTTTTATACCCGTTACTCGTAGAGTAAAAGGGTATACTAGATTCGTCGGAAAGTATGTAACAGGCAGAAGGAAGCGTTTCCGACCCCACAAAGTATATATATTCTTGATCAGGATCACTAGCCGAGTCGATCTAGCCATGTCCGTCTGTCCGTCTGTCCGGATGAACGCTGAGATCTCGGAAACTATGGGAGCTAGGCTATTGAGATTTGGCAGCGCAAGTTTGTTTCAGCACAGTGCCACGCCCACTCTAACGCCCACAAGCCGCCCAAAACTGTGGGTCCTACAGTTTTGATGCTAGAATAAAAATTTTAACTGAAATGTATTGTTCTCATCAATACCTATCGATTGACCCAAAAAAAAGTTTGCCACGCCCACTTTAACACCCACAAACCGCGAAAACCTGTGACGCCCACAATTTTCATGCTAGATAAAAAATTTTAACTGAAATGTATTGGTCTCGTCGATACCTATCGATTGATCCAAACAAAAATTTGCCACGCCCACTCTAACGCCCATAACGCTTAAATCTGTATACCGCCGGTAGGTGGCGCATTTTAATCTCTCTTTGCTGCTTGCATATCTCCATATAGCTGAGTAACGGGTATCTGATAGTCGAGGTACTCGACTATAGCGTTCTTCCTTGTTTTAAATTTGTTTTTCCTATTATTCCTATGGGAGCTATAAGACATAGTTGTCCGATCCGTCTGGTTCCGACTTATATACTACCTGCAAAAAAAATAAGACTTTTGGGAAAGTTTCAGCCCGATAGCTTTAAAACTGAAAGACTAGTTTGCGTAGAAACGGACGGGAGACGGACATGGCTAGATCGACTTGTCTAGTCATGCTGATCAAGAATATATATACTTTATGGGGTCGGAAACGTCTCCTTCACTGCGTTGCAAACTTCTGACTGAAATCAATATACCCTCTGCAAGGGTATAAAAAAGTATATTTATTAAAGCGATTTTAGAAATAAATTTCTTTGAGTGTGGACATGATTGCGGGAGAATGGGGAATCCGAGCTCAAATGTAAAAACGATTTTTTGATTACTGGGGAAATGGCAGCGGCGTGAACAAAAAAGTATTACTACATCCTAAGTCATCGAGTTCTCCTTAACAGGTGCAATCAAAACTGGCAGCATCACTGGCACCATGAAAACTACGGGTATATCTAAAGTTCAACAAAATCAGTATTATCAAATGTTATCTTCAACTATCCTTGCCCCACAAGGAGTGTTTGACTTCTTCCAAAATATCACCGAAAATGCAGAATAAAAAAAAATACAAGAAAGGAAGTTAACTTTAACTTAAAGTTTGTATACCCTTGCAGTTATAATTTTTAAATAAAATTCGAAATCCCTAAAAATGCAAATAATGATATTCCCAATAGTATAAGATAATATGTCAAAAAACAACGAAGATATAATTTGTTTTATATTAATTTTCCACCAATTTTCGATCGTTCCTTTGACAGCTATATGATATAGTCGGCCGATTTTAATAAAATTAAATTCGAAATTCAGAGTTAATTAAAAATGTTTATTTCCAAGCGTAGGAGGTTATATGTTAAAAAACACCAAAGATATAATAAGACATTTGGGAAAGTTTCAGACCGATAGCTTTACAACTGAGAGACGACAGACAGACGGACATGGCTAGATCGACTCGTCTAGTGATGCTGATCAAGAATATACATACTTTATGGGGTCGGAAACGTCTCCTTCCCTGCGTACCCTCTGCAAGGGTATTACAAGAAAGGAAGCTAACTTCGGCTTGCCGATGTTTCTATACGACTGTCGTTCCCGTGGGAGCATTGTATATACAGAGCTTTCCGATTTTTAGAAAATTGAAGACTTATAGCAATATTTAAGATAAGGTTATATTTCAACTACCGTGTATGAAATAAATATATTACTTATTCGATCGTTCCTATAACAGCTATTTAAATTTTATTTGAAATTCTGAACTATTAAAAGAATGATATTCTTATGAGTGCTACGCCCTCTCAAACGTCCCCAAACCTCCCAAAACTGTGGCTTCAACAATATTTATAGGAAAAGCAACATTTTAACTAAAATGTATTGCTCTCATCAATATCTATCGATTGACCCAAGAAAAGTTTGCCGCGTCCACTCTAACGCCCATAAAGCTTAAATATGTCTGCCGCCCACATAACCATAAAAACAGATCGCGGGTAGGTGGTGCATTACAATCTCGATCTGCTGATTGCATATCTCCTTTGGTCCCTTTAGCTAAGACGGGCCACTGGACTAAAGCGTTCTTCCTTCTTAATTATTATTATACCCGTATTCGTCGGAAAGTTTAAGAGCTAAGATTCTTGGGCTGCCTCTGCAGCGCATGTTTATTTTAGCAGGTGCCATGCCCACTCTAAAGCCCACAAACGCCTACATTTTTATATGTTTGTTACATATTTAAATGATATTTTGTTCTTATTATCAAGCAATAATAAACGATTGCAAATTCGATAGAGTACGAGGGAAGGATTCGTGCAGCAAATCGCCTGTTTACGAGGCGGCACCTAGGTTTCACGCTTCGTGGCGTTTTGGTAAAATCTTGAAAACAGCCCATAGGAATGAACGATGGGTGGCGCTTTGGTGTGGTGTGCATTTAGTGCGAGGGTAACGGGTATCTGATATGATGGATCTGATGGATCAGTTCTCAGTTGTTCTGCTGACTGCTCATGATACATAACGACGTCATAAAAGTTAAACATTTTACCTGAAAAATTCCACAATGCAATTCAAATGTTTTTTAAACCATGGACTGATCATGATATAAGCATTTTTGCATTATGATTAGCAATCATGTGCGTTCATCAGAACTATCGTTGTTGTTCTGCTGAGCGCGACCAATGAAACTAAAAATAAATTATGTAAACAATAGCTTAATCTCTAAATCACTCCCATTTTACAGCTAACGAAAATTACCAGATGATGGCAATGTCACGCCGCTGGCATGTTGTTATTGTTCTCACGGCTTTCTTGGCGGGCTGTGTGTCTCTGTCGGAGTTCAACGAAGGCCGCAGTCCAAGCGTAACTGGAAAGCCATCCCTGATTCGGGCGGAGCTCCGCTTTGGCCGTAACCTGGATGCCTCCAATGTGCGAGTGGTAAATGTCAAGTCCAGCAAGGGCGACGATGTCGAAATTTTGGTCGGCAAGAACAGCCGCAAAGCGCGAGCTGAGGATGCTGCTGGCTCCTTCTTTGTGCGAAGCGCGGACGTCAAGCGTCTTCTAAGTCCACCCAGGAGCAAGTCCAGTGGTCGCCAGCTTAGCTTCGAACACAGCCCGGCTTTGCTGAAGCAAAGCGAGCTGGCCCTGCAGATGGGCTCCTATCGGCAGCGCAAGGAAGAGGCGGAGCAGCGCCAAGTCAAACTTATCCAGCTGCAGCTGGCCAAGGCGCAGAGTATGGCGGAGGAATACCAGGCCGTGCAGGGAGAATCCCGCAGGGGGCGTCAGTTTGCCACAGACGTGTCCTGGCAACCCGCTCATACCACCGTCCAGTTCCCAACCTCTTCAGTCTCACGCAAAAACTTATCTTTGGCGGCAGACCGCCAATGGCAATCTTTCGGTACGGAATCTGTGGATACAATTCCACGGGTGCAGCGATTGGGGCAGAGGTCGGCGGTCAGCTTTCCTAGAGACTCGGAGCTTGCTGCATCCGACCTCCATGAGTACAGGGACAATAGAGCCTACGCCAACAGTGGCACGAGCCACGGATACCGGCCGCAAAATCTTATTACCAAGCACAACTACAACACATTGCCGCAGAAGACCAAGTACGTAACCTACATGCCGCACTCCGTGGTGGTGACGGCCAGCGCAGGAGTCGCCACGCCCAACAACACTCGACGTCCAGGGCAAATTGGAGGGTACGGAAGCCCACACTACAATCCTATCGGCCAGAGCACCCACAGCGTCGTGGACGGTCCCGCTGTGACGCTGATCGAAGGCGTCCGGGTGCCGGACAGCGCCGAGGACAAAGTGAAGACCTGGCGCAATGCTCGCGTCCTGAATAACCAGTTGGTGCCATATCCAGAGGGTTACACGCCGCCGAGGGCTCAGATGCCCAGCTTCGACCGATAATTGCGATAGTTGTAAACCAAATCGACGGGTGTTGGTGCTCAACGGCTAATTATATTTATTGATTTGATTATTGTTAAGCTATTTATAAAAGTTGAATTAAAGTTGTCAAGGAAGTCGTGTCGGTCTATCTCATAAAGTCGTTGACGGTTAGTACCCGTAGGTCTGTTTTGCGCAGATGTCGGTCACATGAAGGCGCGTCAAACGTCAGATAGACGACGTGCATCGGCGCGGTCTGCATAAATCCGTTCTCAGACAGCGTGTAGCGGTACGGCTTTAGAAACTCCAGGTATACAAACACAGCTGGGCGCTTCACTTGGATGGTAATGCTTACGCTGTTGCGCTTGACATCGGTGGTATTGAGACAGGTTAGGGAGGCGATATTGTACTGCGGAGGTGGATGTTAGGTTAGGTTAGGTGTCTGGCTTATGCAGGGCTTGTTTACCTCTAGATCGGGGTCTTCGATTCCGACGGCAGCGGTAATGCTGCTGGGGAAGAAGTAGGTCCTGGAGATCACTTCATGGCCTCGACGCAGATGAAACTCCAGGAATGAGTTTGTTTTAGTGAATTGCCCCTTTAGCAGATCAGAAATGGGAATGACCTTGTCGTAGTGCACGCCATTGGGGCGAAGGGTAACCTCCCACGTCGTTGATTGGCGCGGCAGCAGCTGAGACCACAAATAAACATTAGCCACGACATTGAGTTCCCGCGTGTCCACCTCCAGTAAATCGCAAATAAGCGAGATGTTTAGCGAGTCCGTGGATCTTTCGTAGAGAGCTACGATTGCAATCGGCGCTAAAAAGTCGCGCGCCCAGTAATGAAGAATCTGTAGTGGGGAGACAGAGAATGATATTTTTGAGCTGGTGAAAAACCATCGAAAGCCTTGACTGTCTTTAGATATTAGATTGACAAAATAAATAAATTTCAATTTAAATTTAAGCTTTAAGACATAAAATTTGACGATTTGTGGGCGAAAGGCAATTTTATTTTAGAGCAGACGTACGATTAAAAGTAAAACTTTTTTTCTGTGGATGGGTGTTGGTAAAATACTTAAATATTAATTTGATTTTTAGTTCTAACACTTAAACTGTGAAAAACTTTTGTTTCGATTTTCTAATCTAAAAAAAATTAAAATCTGTCGGACTTATAGTTTTTGCGACTATTGCGAATCATCTTTCGGGAAAAGTTTAAAGTTCCAAGTTTGGATGTTGGAACCTGCTAAAGCCAAGTTGCACTTGTAAAAACTGTTCCGAAGTCTCGACGTTCATGCGGACGGAAAGACAACAAGTCTGGAGCGATCTTAAATAAGTAAGATGAGAGTGTTGACAGATAACTGCAGAGGGCCGGCAGATAAGATGTGTACCCCAAAACTGCTCTGAATGCGGCTGCTGTCTTAAATTAATTATATGGTTCCTGATCGTAGTAATTGTAATACAATTACAGCTCACCTTCCAGTTGCCGTAGAAATCTATGCCGGACCAGGATGGCGCCACCCATACGTCGTTTAGCTGCCAGTAAAGGGCGCCCATGGTTTTGTGAGGGGTGTCCCGCAGGCTGCGGTACAATTCCGTTTCCACCTTAGTGGCCATGGCCTGAGCGATCTGGCTGAAGTATATCAGTGCATTGGCATAGTTATCATCCTCTGGCAAGGGGAGCGGAAGGTGTCTCTCCACCAAAGCGATTACGGGAATATTTCCTAGCGGATGGTGCTGGCGGTGTCTAATTAGAGCAAGAAGGTCGTCATCGCCGTTCTTGCTGCGCTGCCAGGCATAAGTTCCTGGAAAGCTCTGAAAGCCGTATTCACTAACAAATCGAGGACGTGGATAAATTTCTGGGTCCCAGCCGTCCTTTGTGTAGTCGTAGAAATGTACTATGGATGATATCAGTTTCAAAGCATCACTTTTTAATATAGGGACTTCTTACCATCGCCATTGTGATTGTCCTGGGGGTTGCTAGAAATGTAGTTTTCCTTTTCACTGGCCTTGCCATTGGAGGGCGATGAGACTAGTGGCTGGGGTCGAGAGCGATGCGAGACTAGCTTTAATTCGTGGATGACATTGGCCAGGTAGAGCTCCCGGTAGTCGCTTTCAAAGCGATCTCTTTCAAACAGCGTGCCATACCAGTTCTGTACCAATGCGGCTTCGTTTTCATTGTTGGTTACGAAAATTGCCACGCTGGGATGGTGCGACAGCCGTATGGCATTTTGGCGAACCTCCTCACGCACTGATGACAAGAAGTCGTCGCCAACCGGGTACATGGCACATGCAAACATCATATCTTGCCAAATTAGAAGGCCTAGACTGTCGGCGAGCTGGTAGAAGTAATCTGATTCGTAAACACCGCCTCCCCACACGCGCAGCATGTTCATATGCGCTTCCTTGGCGGATCTCAATAGGTGGCCAACTTCACATGATAGAAAAGAAAATTAAATAAATTGATTTTGTTTGCCTTCAAAAATACAGATGTAGGCGAAAGTCGCAGAAAAGCTTAGTTAAACATATCAGCTATAAATAAAGAGTCATCACATCATCACATGCTTTTTTTGCTTTAGCTTTATCCTACAGAATTTTGAAGTCAATTGCAAAGTCTTTAAGAAATGTTTCAAAATGCGAACATACTTTTAAAACTATCCTTGCCACAGCATTGGTGTAAAAATAGTTATAAATAAAATTTCGCTGTAAATGGGTATATGGTTAGGAAAATTTGTTTTTTAAATTCGATTGGAGTCTTTGGTTACCAATCTTTCCACCTCAAATGATATCAATTTCTTGTTTTGCGGTGGTGTCAACTTTTTTTTTGGACGTACCCGACCGCGTTTTGGTTGAAGTTTGTACACCCTTGCAGGACGTTCTCGTGTGAGCATTGTTTGTAGAGAGCATTTCGATTTTTAGTAAACTGAAAAATAACTACAGGAACTTAAAGATATTGTTTCATTTCAATTTACTACCATATATGATTACCAAAATCGAAATATAACGGTCTTTGTACTATTTTGACATTAATTATTCAATCGTTCCTACGGCAGCTATATGAAAAAGTCGCCCGATTTTTAAAAAATGTTATTCAAAATGCTAAAATAAAAAAAGAAAGATATTTCCAAGAGCAGAAGCTAATATGTCAAAAAACACCGAAGTTATAGTTTTTGTATATTTTTAATGCATGCATGGGTATTGATAATAAGATAATAAAATGTTATTTAAATTTTTTACAAAATATTAAAAAATTTTGACGGTAGACGGGATTTAGCGTTATTGGCTATTGTGGGCGCTAGAGGAAACCCAAGAATCTACATGCCAAATCCGGTTCTAGCTCTTATAGTTTCCAAGATTTAAGTGCCAAAAATTCCAAAAATTTAAATGCAAGTTTGTTCCATGCCAAAAGTGATTGAAATGGAACCATTCATTACAATGTTATAACCAAATAATAATCAATATTTTGCAATTCAATCGAGATTGCACACCACATTGACAAGAAAGGACGTTAGCTTCAGCAAGTTGAAGTTTGTATACCCTTGCAGTTATAGTAATTAAATTTAATTTAAAATACAAAAAATGATATTCCCAATAGTATAAGATAATATTTCAAAAGACACCGAAGCTATAATTTGTTTCATATTATTTTCCCACCAATTTTCCGATCTTTCCTATGGCAGCTATATGATATAGTCGTCCGACTTTGATAAAAAAAATTCAAAATTCAGAACTAATTAAAAATGGTTATTTCCAATCGTAGGAGGTTATATGATAAAAAACACCAAGGAAAAATTTTTTTCGATTATTTCTATGGGAGCTAAAATATAGTTGTCCGATCCGGCTGGTTCCGACTTATTTACTACTTGCAAAAGAAAGAAGACTTTTGGGAAAGTTTCAGCCCGATAGCTTTAAAACTAGGCTAGTTTGCGTAGAAACGGACGGACAGACGGACATGGTTAGATCAAGTCATCTAGTGATGCTGATCAAGAATATATATGTAGGAAACAGGGATGGTCGCAAAATACCAGAAGAGCAAGCAATCAGAGAGACCAGGAGTGGTCGTCGTTTTTAATGATCCAGAGAGCGCGAGAGAGAATAAAACTCTAATAAAGTCAGTCGGTGCCAAGATCTCACGCGCTACGCATGCCAATAAGCATACCCTTTGTACATCATCAAATGTAACACTACAACTTAAGTTTTGTATTTCTGATTCCAAATAATAATATAAAATAAACATTACACATAATAATTGAACACGTCGTTGTCCCAAGAACATTTGCATCACTGCGGAATTAATGGGGCCACAATTTTGGGGGATCAACCGGAATAAATTTGGATCAAATACAAACTACAGTCATTAAACTAATAAGTTGTGAGTTTAAAAGTGGTATAAACTTGTGCATTGCGGTGGTAGTAGCAGTTGCTAAAAATCAAAAATTGCTGCGCAATAGAAGACAAAAAATTAGCAAGAAACAGAGTGCGTGACAACGAGAAGAAAATGTTGCGAAATTCAATTTTTGCAACGCAAAAGAAATAGAAGAAAAACCGACTCAAAGGCGACTGGCGTAACAAAGAAGAAAGCGAAAAATCAGCGAGTACCGAATCTGGGAGCAGCGCAAAAATTTTGTGGTGAACGTCAACCAGCCGAAGGCAGGATCGTTGGCGGTGGTCATCTGGACACAAATTAAGGCGTGGAGCAGTTACGGTAACAGGCGGCTCACAGAAGCTGTGCGTCAGGAGAACACAAGGAACCTGTGTTCAGGAGGCTGGTCAAGGCGAAGAAAGTGGTGTTCAGGAGGCTGGTCAAAGCGAAAGAAGCCGGCGGATCGCAAAATTTGCGCGTCAAGATAAAACAAGGAAGCGGTGTTCAAGAGACTGGTCAAGGCTAAGGAACCGGTGTTCAGGAGGCTGGTCAAGACGAAGGAAGCTGGAACTGGTACAGGAGGAGATCGCCGAAGAAGGGGCAGGAAGATCTGGAGAAGTACCAATAGTTGGCGAGCAAAGAGAAGTCAATTTTGGAACTGTATTGGTGGTGAACTTTTGGCGGCTGGAAGACGAATTCAAAGCTGTATTTGTGAGGCAGCGAGTACATCATTCTGGAGCTGTATGTGTGAGACGGCAGACGGTTCGTTCTGATGAAATTCAGAAAAATTGGCTGAAGGCGACAAGAGGAGACAAGAATTCAGGCAATTTTGGATGGCGAAAATTAACTACGAAGAGAGCGGCGAGACGAATTCCAACAACAAGAAGAGAGTCAAGAAGTGCTTTCGTATATAACGTAGCAATTCAAGCAGGGCATAAAGCTGTTGATTTAACGTAACGTATACCGTAAAGCAGTAATTTGGCTGTGTATTTTATATTTGATATTACTGCTTATCTATATATATCTATATTACTATATCTATATTACTCCTATATTGTATAAGTATATTTAAGTTTCAATATGAACAAGCAAGAGGTTTTGGCACTGCTTGTAGCAGATTTACGCGAAAAGTTAACAGAGCTGGGACTCAGCACAAATGGAAGAAAACCAGAGTTGCAAAATAGACTGCTTGCTCACTATGGTTTGCAAGCTGATGAAGACAATGAAGGCATCGAAGTGGATGAGGATGATGAGGGCTCTTTCGAAAGCGAACATTCCAATAATATGCAGGCAGGTGGTAGGTCCGAAAGAAATGCAGTCGTAGAAGGGCAGAACCTTCAGACAGTAAATTCAGCTTCAGGTAGGTCGTGGTTTACATTGAAGGATGTGGACGGAAGTGTGTCACAGTTTTCAGGAACTAATTCACCTGACATTAATCAGTGGATTGAGGAACTAGAAGAGTGTGCACTGACGGTGGAATGGAGCCAATTACACCAGTTTACAAAAGAAAATTGATGAAATACGCCTTTCAGGAAACCTTTGTTTTCCGGTAAGATACATCTCCCTGATTAAGAAAAGGGCACTTAAAATTTTTTCTATGGTACCAATTTTTTTTAAAGTGTAAAAAACGTTTTTAGCACTTTTTTATTTTCTAACTCGAGTTGCGATAAACCGAATTCGGTCATTAAGGACTCATTTTACAGGTAATAGAATGCCCTTTAACTTTCTTATACACATCATTAAGTTCCATTTATTAGTTCAAAAGCTACACTTCGTCAAAGTTGAAAAATTTGGAAAAAAATCAAAAACGCTGGCATAAAGGGCTTCTTTAAAAATACACGCGTAAAAACCGAAATTAGTTTTATGTTGTTTTCTTGATGGCTGAACCATAACGGAGAATATGCGCCATAGATCACGACAATCCGTTGGTAAATCGATTTTTAACAGATTTTTAAACGTATATACCCAAGTTCATTATTCGGGAGCAGCGGCCGTTAAACGTTATTTTAAATTTTCAGTGTTGGGGAACGTAAGAATTTGGTGCAAGTTGTTATGCATAACGTCAGTTTCTTTGCTATAGCGCTGGGCAAGCTAAAGAGTATGCGATTGCAGTTACGAGGAAATCATTTTCATATATTTTTAGCAAGGAAACTGACGTTATGCATAACAACTTGCACCAAATTCTTACGTTCCCCAACACTGAAAATTTAAAATAACGTTTAACGGCCGCTGCTCCCGAATAATGAACTTGGGTATATACGTTTAAAAATCTGTTAAAAATCGATTTACCAACGGATTGTCGTGATCTATGGCGCATATTCTCCGTTATGGTTCAGCCATCAAGAAAACAACATAAAACTAATTTCGGTTTTTACGCGTGTATTTTTAAAGAAGCCATTTATGCCAGCGTTTTTGATTTTTTTCCAAATTTTTCAACTTTGACGAAGTGTAGCTTTTGAACTAATGAATGGAACTTAACGATGTGTATAAGAAAGTTAAAGGGCATTCTATTACCTGTAAAATGAGTCCTTAATGACCGAATTCGGTTTATCACAACTCAAGTTATAAAATAAAAAAGTGCGAAAAACGTTTTTTACACTTTAAAAAAAATTGGTACCATAGAAAAAATTTTAAGTGCCCTTTTCTTAATCAGGGAGATGTATCTTACCGGAAAACAAAGGTTTCCTGAAAGGCGTATTTCATCAATTTTTTTTTGTAAACTGGTGTTACAGATCTTTATTTTTGCTAAACAATTGCTCAGTGGAGCGGCCAAACTTTTTGTCCGTAGTCAGCGAGATGTTCGGGATTGGAGATCGTTGAAAAACATATTGCTCGACGAATTCGGTGTGAGGGTGTCATCAGCAGAGGTTCATCGTAGACTTGGCAAACGGCAGCAAAAGAAAACTGAATCGTTGCATGAGTACCTCTACGCGTTGATGGAATTGGCAAAGCCAATTGATCTTGATGACGAGAGCTTGATCGAATACTTTGTCGACGGTATTCCAGACTTCAAGGTGAACAAGGCTTTACTCTACCAAGCAAAAAGCATGAGTCAGTTGAAAGTACAAATAGAGGCATATCAGAAGATGCGA